AAAGAAGTAAATCAAAACTAATTTTAGATAAACTGCAATGAATGTCAGACGAAGAGAGTCCATTTCAATATAAATGATGAGAGAAAACTGATTCAAAAAGAAGAAAACATGAATTATTAACTATTGATGAAATAAAATAAAAGGATGTTCTAGATGAAATTCGAGTGTTTTTTTTTTTAAATAAATTTGAAACAATGCTTTTTATTCTACCAATTTTAAAGACAAATTCGCAATGATTGAGCTCGTTTTTTTTTTATTTCCGAACATGCTGCAAAATATTTGCGTAAGAAGAAGAATTAAACAACAATAAAGAATAAAAATTACTGTTACAATAAAAAAAGAAAAATGAAAAATGAAAGACATGATAGGGTAACTTCTTTTTATTTTTCTAATAATTGTGCTATGAATTTTTTGATTTACTAAAATATGATTGTAGATCATTTTGTGGTAAACATATTTGTGATGAAAGTGGTCTATTAAATTTTTTTCGTTTATAAATTAAATTCCAATATGTTGTATGAATATATTCGACTAATTTACAATATTTATTTATTGAACGTTCTTTTGCAATTAACCATCGTCTCATTGTCGAATTTTTACCTAAAATATTCTCGGCAAATAGAATATTTTCTTTCAACGTTTTAATTGACGATGATATTTCAGATTTTCGAAACCATAAATATTCATTATAAGCCGTTTTATTTTGAATTAAATAATTAAGATAATGTGCCAAATCAGCTGGTGATTCATAATCATAAATATTAATATAAGAATGTTTTGGTGCAAATCGATCATAATCGGGTATTTTTTCTCGACTAGCTACAATGGGTACAGATGTTGATGAAATGGCATCAATAAGTTTTTCTGTAACATAATCTTCACAATTTGAATTTTCAATTGATAAAACAAATTTATATTTTGAATAGAGTTGTTGATTTCCACCTGGTTGCTGTCGTTGAGATTGAGCAGCCTCTGGAGAATAAAGAGAATTTAAACATGTACCATAGGAATCAATTCGAATATGAGACATTAATTCTTTGACAAAATGTTGACGACCATTGTACGCATTACTAGAATAAATTATTGATATTTTTAGACAATTCAATTGTGTTTTTTACTACTAGATTTGACATTTGAGTTTATATTAACCGTTACTTCTGAGAATTTTTAACATTAGCTGTTTTACTAATGCTTTTTTGCAGATATTATACAAAGAATTTCAAAAAATTAGTTTAAATTTATTCGCATATGATCAGCTGACGAGGGAACCTCTTGAGGTTATAAATCGCTTTTGAACTCGGACTACTTGTATCTTGTAGACCTCAGTGAGTAGTGAAATACCCTAAGTTGGTTCATCCCCATGGT